TGCTTTATCTGAACGTACTCCTTAATTTTTGAAAATAGGACATATAGTGGCGAGTTTCCATATGTCTGGAAAGCATTGTTCGTTTAAAATTCTATTAAAAAGCAATGATAGCGGTAAATCAATCGTCGACGCTGTCATAAGAAGCATCCTATTTGTAATACCATCAGGTCCTTCCTTTTTGGAGGGGTTAAGATCTAGTAAGAGAGTTCTAACTTCCTCTCTGTTTGTTGAAATATTGGTCAAAATTTTGTTCGTTCGCAGTGGAGAGTAGGCAGGTCCCTTTGGTCAAAATCAAAATTGTGGTGGAATTTACTGGTAAAATGGTTTAACAATTCAGTCGCCTTATCTTTGTCGGTTGAAAATACTCGTGTCAGATCAGAGCTAAACAAAGTTGGAATGCTTGGAGTGAATCTAGTACCAAGGAGTTTTTTGATAGCTAGCCCCCTAAGCTTGCAGCACTCTGTGCCAATGTTGTGCACCCGGTTTTGCATGGCCTTTACACGGGCGTGTCAGCAGAACAAATTAACCCATCAATACGCAAAAGTCACCTCCTCCCTTGGGAAATCCTTTGGACAGAGCTGTATTGAAATATGTACTTTGTTTGCACAACATCTCATATGAGATGCGCAGTTCTCGAGTTCTGAGAGCCATGCAACCAAAATGGAGAATATAGAAGATCAATGGAGACAACCTTAACCTAGGAATTGGCTTTTCATAATAAAACCAACTTATCATACTCTCCTAAAAGGATTTCTTGTTGATCTAAAAATTGCATTTTTTACTTTTGAGAAGTTGAAATTCCAATGGAATATTGGCCATTTTCACTATAGCTATACAAACTAAAACAAAAGTATTAATAGAAAGCGTAAAATACTCTTCCATACATGTATAAATATCGACAATGGCAACGAAAGTGTGTAAAAACTTACCAAATTTAACAAATTTCCTCAAAATCTGTTTTCTGCACCTGTTGATTTGTTATTCTAGATGGCGCCACGTGCCTGCAATGAAGCACAGTCCAAGCGGGGTTTGATTTGCACTAGGTATCAAGTTATCAATTGTACATACACTGTCTACATGTACCTCCCACTCTTTGCTGATAACTCTTGAATGTTCACCACTTGAACTAAAAGGAGGATATCATATAGCTACATTCCACTCTTCCTGCTGGAACCCATTTGAACTCCAAGGAGATATTGTATATTCACCTACTACTCTTCCTTGGTGGAATGCTATCCCATTTGAACTCCAAGGAGATATTGTATATCACATACTACTCTTCCTTGGTGCAATGCTATCCCATTTGAATTCAGAGGGGGATATTGTATATATACCTCCCACTGTCCATGGTGGAATGTAATCCCACTTGAAATCAGAGGGGGATAACATATATCTACCTCCCACTCTTACCGAGTGGAATGTTATCCCACTTGAACTCTGACGGGATATTGGTTATCTACCTCTCACTCTTCCCTGGTGGAATGTTATCCCACTTGAACTCTGACGGGATATTGGTTATCTACATGTACCTGTTTATCTACCTCCCACTCTTCCCTGGTGGAATGTTATCCAATTTGAATTCAGAGGGGATATTGTTTATCTACCTCCCATTCTTCCCTAGTGGAATGTTATCCGACTTGAACTCAGAGGCGGATATTATATATCCACATACCCACTCTTCCATGGTGGAATGTTATCCCACTTGAACTCAGAGGCGGATATTATATATCCACATACCCACTCTTCCATGGTGGAATGCTATCCAATTTGGATTCAGAGGGGGATAACATATATCTACCTCCCACTCTTCCCTAGTGGAATGTTATCCCACTTGAACTCTGATGGGATATTGTTTATCTACCTCTCACTCTTCCCTGGTGGAATGTTATCCAATTTGAATTCAGGGGGGGATAACAGATATCTATCTCCCATTCTTCCCTAGTGGAATTTTATCCCACTTGAACTCAGAGGGGGATATTGTTTATCTACCTCCCATGGAATGTCATCCCACTTGAACTCAGAGGAGGATATTGTTTATCTAGCTCTCACTCTTCCCTGGTGGAATGTTATCCAATTTGAATTCAGAGGGGGATAACATTTATCTACCTCCCACTCTTCCCTAGTGGAATGTTATCCCACTTGAACTCAGAGGGGGATATTGTTTATCTACCTCTCACTCTTCCCTGGTGGAATGTTATCCCACTTAAACTCAGAGGGGGATATTGTTTATCTACCTCTTTCTCTTCCCTGGTGGAATGTTATCCAATTTGAATTCAGAGGGGGATATTGTTTATCTACCTCCCACTCTTCCATGGTGGAATGTAATACCCCTAGAAATCAGTGGAAACCTAGTGGAACCTGAGACTAACCATGGGCTTCTCTTGAAATCCCATGGACTAACAATTATGGTCTCAGGTGGAATGTTATCCCACTGGCACTCAGAGGCGGATATTATATATCCACATACCAACTCTTCCATGGTGAAGTGTTATCCAATTTGAACTCAGAGGGGGATATTATATACCCACCTCCCACTCTTCCCCGGTGGAATGTTATCCAATTTGAATTCAGAGGGGGTATCATATATCTACCTCCCACTCTTCCCTGGTGGAATGTTATCCCACTTAAATTGAAATATTAAATACATGTAGCTACCTCTCACTCAGAAATCAAATATATACATGACTGATTTATTCCAGGCTTTCCAGATTTAAGGAATAGTACAGCAAGATGTAAAAGATTTATGGAATGGATCATAAATGTAAGAATGTAAAATCCTTTAGAAATTTTTTCAAATAATTGGCGGACACTGAATTTAGCATTTTTATCCATCTGCCAATGGCCGTCAAATTAAAGCAACTTAAAGTAGTTAATTTTTCTACGTCATGATAACAATCTTTCATTAGTTTCATAAGTATGTCTTCTGATTTATCACAGTCCCATCACAACTATTAAGCTAGTAGAGCCAGTGAACTACCACTGATATTGGATAAATCAGTTATTGGATATCAAATTCATCCTTTGGAAAAGAAAAACATCTCCCTGGGCTTAGGGGCACTATGTGTATTTATATAAAGATGGCAGTGCGATCAATCCGTTTCACATAATTTTCTACCACTGTTGCCATCTTTATAGTGCACTGTACAAACTGCTAACAAATGAAACCACAGCTCAAAAAACACAGACGGATGGATCAATGGCAGGCCTGTAGCCAGGGGGGGGGGGGTTCGGGGGGCTCGGGCGAACCCCCCCTGGATAAAATTTCTTTCAAAATCATGCAGTTTTTCACCATTCTGACTATTTTTTAGTGATTTTTTGGGCCTGAATGGACACCTCCACAATCCCATAGGATCAATGTGTGAGCCCAAATAAAAACATACAATGTCAATTGAAAGAAATAAAAGACAAATAATATGTGTACAATAGCAATGTTTATTTTATCATACATAAGCTACCACATTGGCTACAATTAAGGTGTTTCAAAATATTTTACAATCATTTATATATTTTACAAATGACATTTTGTTATGTGTACATGTTGTTTTTTAAAAAATAGACAAGACTTTTTACAAATTCTGTAATTAAATGCTTTGAAAACATCAATTTTTCCGTTGTATTTGAGAAAATATCTAGGAATGAACTTAATTAAAATTCCAGTCTCGCAACCTGTATGTATCAAAATTAAACAACTTTAGAAGTATGTCATGATTATTGCCGACATCATTGGTGTACAACAAAAATATGTGAGTGACCCCTTTTTGGCCCACCTTGACATATAGTTACTCCTAAATTACATTCATCTATGTTTTACTGTACATGTACATGGTAAAGTTAATACCATTGTTTTGTATATAACAACAAAGAGTTGAACATTGAAACGATGTTATCTGAGATATTCGATTAAATAAATTCAAAAACACTGAATGTAAGTTAAAGAATTCAAACCCATAAGAGTTATCATACAAAAATAGTGTATTAACTTTACAATATAAGCAAGAATTACGAGGGATGAAAGAGCGTAAATTAAGCATAATTTTGTGTTGTATCAAAAAATGTTTTTTTATAAAAACTTCAAAATGTTCAACATAATAAGAAACATGATTTTTAATTAATATAGACAACTAATCAAGATAGTTCTGTGTGCTTACATTTGTATCATTTTCACAATTTCCTGGATATTCCTGAATGTTCATGAATATTCCTGAATGTTCCTAAATGCAAATGTTAGCTATAAATGGGCATAATAGTGGTGGATGAACCTTTCCTCATCAATAAAAGTACAGTGAAACCTGTATATCTGAACACCTCTCATGTGAACACCTCCCAATGTAGGGGTTTCATTAGTAGCAGGCAACAGGCGATTTTCACCAGTTGTTTTCACAAAAACTTAATCGCCTGTTGTTTTTAGAGACTTTTCCATGTTAAATTTATGATTTCCATTAATTTTGCCTGTTGTTTTCATTTATTTAGCTTGTCACGTGAACACTGTTTTCTAAATCTGCCATAAGATATCATGTTAAAAATCCTTAAGTGAACACCTGCTACTCTGAACACTTTGGTCGGTCCAAGGGGTGTTCGGATTCGACAGGTTCTACTGTATACTTCATTCATCCCTATTAGAAATACACCAACTATGTTAAGATCTTAAAAAAAATGTTTTTGCTTGCAATTTCAACAGACATTTGCTCGAGATAATGGAGGTCTAAATGTGTTGCTGGGTGTTGAATAATGTCCATAGATATTCAGATGGTTTATCATCCATAGATATCAAAGTATTTCCAATGTAGATATCCAAGTTTATCATCCATAGATATTCAAGTGTTTCCAAGTTTATCATATAGACATCCAAGTTATCATGTAGATATCCAAGTTATCATGTAGATATCCAAGTATCTCCAAGTTTATCCAGTACATATCCAAGTATATGCTGTAATGTACATATCCTAGTTTAAAGTCACCAATTCAGGTCACACATGTCCTTGGTTATGATACAAGTCCCTTTACATCCCAAAGAATTTCAGGGATCTATCCATACTTGCTGATGCAATAAACTGAGCGTTCTGACCAAACTGAACACTCGTGGCTTGCGCTGTGTGGTCATTAAATACGCTCAACTCCTGCCATTGTTTACACAGATACGTCCTGAAACAAGGAATAATAAAAAACATGTGAATGTTCATCATTTAGCTTTTTAATTTAATTTGCGACTCCCTATTTAGCAGGGAAACTTAGTAAAATGAAAATTCAGTGAGGTAAGAAGGCATGTAACTTGGGATATTTTGAGATGACACCTTCCTGTACAAGTTCCAGATTGAAGACATTCAAAATTCAAGATGGAAGCCAAATTCAAAATGGCCGATGAGAATTGCCTTCTCACCATCTCTGAACACAAGGACGTTATGTATATTATTTAAAGATATTAAACTAAAATTAAAATTGTTCTTTGAATACATAAATGACAATACAAAAAAATGATACTATTTGAGAAAAGTGTGTTCATGGAAACTTCTCAAACCATCTCCACATAATTTTGAAGAAGTTGTCATCATTATCATTCCATTTTAAAACAAATGCCCAGAAAGCATAAAAATAAGGCCCAAGGACAATAAATCAGAGAGAACCCCAAAAACAGAATTACAGTTTTACTACAATGAGCTCAGTAGCATAGGCAAATTTAATATTTACCTAACATCTGTTCCCGCCACTGCCAAGTATGTACCACTTTGGTCAAAGCACAGCGACTTCACCTGAAAAAAATAAAACAAAGCATTTGTAAATAACTCTGATTTTCCATAACTAAAGCCAGAGATCACTCTCCAGGTTCTATTTCTAGTCAGTCTCGGACTAGAGAGAAGGATAAAGAGGGGGGAGTACAGGGTCTTTTAAGCAACCCTCACAAAAAGATCAAGGGTTTTCAATGTAATATCACAACCCCATTTCATTGAATAACAAGGCAATGAACTACCATAGATCGATGCTTGATCAAGCATTGTTGAAATAGGATTTTATAAAGAGACTACTATTGATCAAGGGTAGAAAACCCTAGTTTCCATTGACAGACTACACCTTGAAATTGAACCTTGATCTACACCTTGAACTACCCCTTGATCAACACCTTGATCACGTACAACTCCTTGAAATAGTTCTACCAATGATAAAATCAACTCCTTGACACATTTCATGGAATTCTGACAACAGTAGAAAGATATGTCAATGCCATGATTTTCTTTATGTTTACAAGTACATTTACAAGCTCTTTATAGGAATATAGCTTTGAAGCCAAAATCTATACATTATCATTTTGTATCCCAGGATCCCATCCCGGAATACTCTTTAACACCAGTTTGTATACAAATACAAGTACAAGTTTGTAGAGAAGGCAATTCGATCTGTTTACACATATACTTATTAGGAGAAATTTCAAAGAAAGAAATACAGTTATAGAGTTTAGTTTAGTTTTATTGTTATTTTGGGTGTCAGGTTTACATCCGTTAATTTAGTACAATTCAAAAGAGAAGTAATGAAATAACAACTCAGCCCACATGGGCTTATCAGCCACTTAAAGTAAATATACTTGTAAATAAATATTACATCTTTTTGACACAAGTATAATATTTAATATTTTTGACACAATATATAATATTTAATATTTTAAATTGCATTTCTTCTTTTAAAATAGCACAATTTAACAAAATGAGCAGCTTGCCGAGGCATTTTTTCAAATAAATACTGAAACTTAAGTTCTACAGCTGATTCTCTTTCATCAAAATTAGATGATTTTGTTAATATTTTTCCCTTATTTTTTTAGAAAATGTGCAATGAAAAATAATATGATCTTCATCCTCAATGTTGCCAGATTTACATAAAGTACATGTACATTTTCTATTTTCCAATTTCTAGAATAGTAGAAATAATAGAAATGAGTAATGGGATATGAATATTTCTAGGTAACGTATTTCTGAAATATTATTGTGTGTGTCTAATTTTTATTATATTAGATTTGAATAACTTAAAATACTTTATAGTTTTTCATTATGTCTTTACGAATTTCAATGTCTACACCTAGTACAATGGTAGTCAAGTCAATGAGGTAAAACAGTGGAGGAGAGGATTGTGACATTTTGAACATTTCTAGGACTTTCTTCATATTAAAAGTATGTTAGTGAACAGTTTTTGATCGAGTGAGTTTTTGTAATATAGTGAGTAGGGAGGGGGAATGCAATATTTTGAATCATTCATAAGGATCATTATGTCTCAGAATATTGATTTCTAATAAGTGTCTAATTCTGATTATGTTAGATGTGAAAAACTTAATGAAATCAGAATATATAAATTGTCCAACTTTCATTTTTAAATGATGGCTAAAGTGGGGGGGGGGCTATGTATTTATGCATTTCAATGTCTACGCCTAGCACATTGGTAGACAGTCAATGCTGTAGTATAGATGAGAGGGAGGGGGGTGTGTAATATAATGAATATTTACAATGATCATTATGTGTCAGAATATTTATTTCTAATATAATGTGTCTAATTCTGATTATGTTAGATGTGAAAAACTTAATGACATCAGAATACATAAATTATTAATTGTCTGTCCAAATTTCATTTTTAAATGATAGCTAATGTGGGGTAGGGGGCTATGTCTTTATGCATTTCAATGTCTACGCCTAGTACATTGGTAGACAGTCAATGCTGTAGTATATAGGAGAGGGAGGGGGATGCAATGTAAATGAATATTTACAATGATCATTATGTGTCAGAATATTTATTTCTAATATGTGTCTAATTCTGATTATGTTAGATGTGAAAAACTTAATGACATCAGAATATATAAATTGTTAATTGTCAGTCCAACTTTCATTTTCAAATGAAAGCTAATGTGGGGGAGTACGTATTTATGAATTTCAACGTCTACACCTAGTACATTGGTAGACAGTCAATTTTGTAATATAGTGGAGAGGGAGGGGGGATGAAATATAAATGAATAATGATCATTATGTGTCAAAATATTTATTTCTAATATAATGTGTCAAATTCTGATTATGTTAGATTTGAAAAACTTAATGACATCAGAGTACATCAATTATTAATTGTCTGTCCAACCTTCATTTTCAAATTATAGCTTATGTGGGGGAATACGTATTTATGAATTTCAATGTCTACACCTAGTACATTGGTAGACAGTCAATGCTGTAATATAGTTGAGAAGGAGGGGAAATGTAATGTTTCTAATAATGGATATGTCTAAGAATATTGATTTCTATCATATCATTATGTGTATTATTCTGCTTTATTATAGATGTGAGAAACTGAATGACATCCTGTCATTTTTTAAGTTTTGAATCGGAATATATAAATTCTAAACTGTCTGTCCACATTTCATTTTTAAATAATGGCTAATGTGGGGGGGGGGGCTATGTCTTTATGCATTTGAATGTCTACGCCTAGTACATTGGTACATGGTAGACAGTCAATGCTGTAGTATAGAGGAGAGGGAGGGGGATGCAATATAAATGAATATTTACAATGATCATTATGTGTCAGAATATTTATTTCTAATATAATGTGTCTAATTCTTGTTATGTAAGATGTGAAAAACTTAATGACATCAGAATATTTATTTCTAATATAATGTGTCTAATTCGTGTTATGTAAGATGTGAAAAACTTAATGACATCAGAATATTGATTTCTAATATAATGTGTCTAATTCTTGTTATGTAAGATGTGAAAAACTTAATGACATCAGAATATATAAATTTTTAATTATCTTTCCAACTTTCATTTTTAAATGGTGGTAAATGTTGGGGGCATGTCTTTGTGAATTTCAATGTCAACACCTTGAACAATGGTAGTTAGTGAATACTGTATTTTATTGAGTAGGGAGGGGGGATGTAATAATTTGAATTTTTATAAGAATCATTATGTGTCAGAATATTGATTTCTAATATAATGTGTCATACTCTGATTAAATTAGATCTGAAAAACTTAATGACATCAGAATATTTATTTCTAATATAATGGGTCTAATTCGTGTTATGTAAGATGTGAAAAACTTAATGACATCAGAATATTTATTACTAATATAATGGGTCTAATTCGTGTTATGTAAGATGTGAAAAACTTAATGACATCAGAATATTTATTTCTAATATAATGTGTCTAATCCGTGTTATGTAAGATGTGAAAAACTTAATGACATCAGAATATTTATTTCTAATATAATGGGTCTAATTCTTGTTATGTTAGACTTAATGACATCAGAATATATAAATTGTCCAAATTTCATTTTCAAATGATAGCTAATGTGGGGAAGGGGGCTATGTCTTATGCATTTCAATGTCTACGCCTAGTACATTGGTAGACAGTCAATGCTGTAGTATATAGGAGAGGGAGGGGGATGCAATGTAAATTAATATCTTTAATGATCATTATGTGTCAGAATATTTATTTCTAATATAATGTGTCATACTCTGATTAAATTAGATCTGAAAAACTTAATGACATCAGAATATTGATTTCTAATATAATGTGTCTAATTCGTGTTATGTAAGATGTGAAAAACTTAATGACATCAGAATATTTATTTCTAATATAATGGGTCTAATTCTTGTTATGTTAGAATTAATGACATCAGAATATATTAATTGTCCAAATTTAATTTTCAAATGATAGCTAATGTGGGGAAGGGGGCTATGTCTTTATGCATTTCTATGTCTACGCCTAGTACATTGGTAGACAGTCAATGCTGTAGTATATAGGAGAGGGAGGGGGATGCAATGTAAATGAATATCTTTAATGATCATTATGTGCCAGAATATTTATTTCTAATTATAATGTGTCTAATTCTGATTATGTTATATGTGAAAAACTTAATGACATCAGAATATATAAATTGTTAATTGTCCGTCAAACTTTCATTTTCAAATGAAAGCTAATGTGGGGGGATACTTATTTATGAATTTCAATGTCTACACCTAGTACATTGGTAGACAGTCAATTCTGTAATATAGTGGAGAGGGAGGGGGATGAAATATAAATGAATAATGATCATTATGTGTCAAAATATTTATTTCTAATATAATGTGTCTAATTCTGATTATGTTAGATGTGGAAAACGTAATGACATCAGAATATATAAATTGTTAACTGTCAGTTCAAATTTCATTTTCAAATGATAGCTAATGTGGGGGAATATGTATTTATGGTTTTCAATGTCTACACCTAGAACATTGGTAGACAGTCAACACTTTGATATAGTGGAGAAGGAGGGGGAATGTAATGTTTTTAATGTTTCCAATGATGGATATGTCTAAGAATATTGATTTCTATCATATCATTATGTGTCTTATTCTGCTTTATTATAGATGTGAGAAACTGAATGACATCCTGTAGTTTTTGAAGTTTTGACTCGGAATATATAGGTTTTAAACTGTCTATACAAATTTCATTTTTAAATGATGGCTGTTGTGGGGGGGGGCTATGTCTTGATGCATTTCAATGTCTATGCCTAGTACATTGGTAGACAGTCAATGCTGTAGTATAGAGGAGAGGGAGGGGGATGCAATATAAATGAATATTTATAATGATCATTATGTGTCAGAATATTTATTTCTAATATAATGTGTCTAATTCTGGTTGTGTTAGATGTGAAAAACGTAATGACATCAGAATATATAAATTGTTAATTGTCTTTATGCATTTCAATGTCTATGCCTAGTACATTGGTAAACAGTCAATGCTGTAGT